CTAAACCCAAACCCCTAAATTTAAATCTAAATGCTATACATAAACCCTAAACTCTAAACCCTAAACTCTAAACCCAAACCCAAACCCTACATCTAAATCTAAACCAAAATTTGAATTTATTGCTGACTCTCTACATCTGAATCTAGAACATCTGAGTCTGAATCCAAATCCAGACCTAAATCTATCTCCCTAAAAATAGACCACCAAACAGATCCTGAGGATGTCATAATATCCTCAGCCACATCCCCATGGCCTCTGAGAGGTCCGGGGTTCAAATGCTCATAGTTGGACATCTCCAAAACTGAGACTCTCCCAGGTCAGCTTAGTTCACACCTCTGCTTTATTACCTCTTTTTGTGACCTGGGTGTGTGTTGGGGGGGTCAAGTAGGGAGGGAAGATGCTGCCCTTTAAACCAGAAAAGATCCCGAGATACTAAGTGGACAAGATTCCACTAAGCCTCCCAAAGAATTTGGCAGGGTGAAAAATAATCCTCCATCATGTCTCGTAGCCTCCAGTTCCAGAGAGAGGTTGAAGTATCAAGGAGAGGCTGCTTGGAACCAGGCTGGTCCTTCGGACAAAGACAGCTCTGGCCAGCAATGGTCTTGGCAGGTAAAAGAATGGGGCTCCTTGGGCTGGCTGGCTGTGGTCTGGGGTGAAAGACACTCTGCAGAAAAGGGCAGACTAAATACACAGGAGTCGTACTGCAGCTTCCTTAGCAAGACAGATTTCACTTTAGAGTACAGGTAGTTCTCGTCTTACAAAAGTTCGTTTAGTGACTGAAGTTAGAACAGCACTGAAAAAAGTGATGTGAACTTACAACCGTTACAGCATCTCCAGGGTCACATGATCAAAATTGGAACGCTTGGCAACTGGCCCATATTAATGACTCTCTCTCTCTCTCTCTTTCTCTTTTCTCCTTCTCTCCTTCTCTCGTTCTCTCTCTCTCATTCTCTTTCTTTGTCTTATTCTTTCTCTCCATCTCTCTTTCTTTTTTCTCATTTTCTAATTCTCTTTCTTTCTCTCTCTCTCTCATTCGCATTCTCTTTCTCTCTTTCTCATTCTCTCATTCTCTTTCTCCCTCTTTCTCATTCTCTTTCTCTCTCTCACTCTCTCATTCTTTCTCATTCCCTCTCTCTCTCATTCTTTCTCATTCTCTCTCTCATTCTCTTTCTGTCTTATTCTCTTTCTCTCTCTCTCTTTCTGTCTTGTTCTCTCTCTCATTCTCTCTTTCTTATTCTCTCTCCACCTCTCTTTTTCTCTCTCTTTCTCTCTCTCATTCTCTCTCTTTCTTTGTCTTAATCTTTCTCTCTCTCTTTCTTTCTCTTTTTTCTTGTTTTCTCATTCTCTCTCTCTCTCTCTCTCATTCTCTCTCTCTCTTTCTCATTCTCTCATTCTTTCTCCCCCCCCTCTCTTTCTCTCTCTCTCTCTCATTCTTTCTCATTTTCTGTCTCTCTCACATTCTTCTCATTCTCTCTCTCTCATTTTCTTTCTGTCTTATTCTCTCTACATCCCTCTCTCTCTCTCTCTCTCATTCTCTCTCTTTCTCTGTCTTATTCTTTCTCTCCATCTATCTCTCTTCTCTCTCATTCTCTCTTTCTCTCTCATTCTCTCTTTCTCTGTCTTATTCTCTGTCTTATTCTCTGTCTCCCCACCCCACCCCATTCTCTCTCTCTCTCTCCATCTTCATAGGTTATCTTCTAAGTTCATCTTGCATCTTTGTGTCTCAAGCTAGGAACACTTATATTTCCATCAAGACGGTACCGCCGAGACCCTCCGTAGGGAAGGAAGTCACCTTCATCCCAGTGGGAAGCATGGAGAACGTCTCTCTCTGCTGGTGGTATCGTGGTCCCATCCAGAAGAAGAATGAAATCCTGACCTACCAAACGTCCCCCATTCTTAGAGTCAATTACAGCAACGCTTATACGGGGCGTGAGCAGATACAACTGGATTGCTCTTTGAGCATCACTAATTTAACATTCAGGGACAATGGTTTCTATGCAATCCTAAAAAAAAGAACTGTCCAAAATGCCTACGATAAAGGTGAAGTGTTGTTACAA